TGGCTTGTGCTCTGTGTGTGGGTCTGGGCAGGGAGGCGGAGGGCGAGCCCTTCTCATGGCCAAGGTCTGTCTGCTGGTCCAGGCTCCTGGCACAGGTGGTCAGTGTCATCTACTGGATGTCATTAGCATCATTGCTTGGTGGCATGTAGGCTCTTTTCTCCCTTTTTGCCACCTTGTTCCACCACTCCCTGAAAGGCGGATGTATTTCTAAAACAGAGCGCATGTACCTCCTTGCGTGGCGTGGGTGTCTGGAGGACCAGCCTGTGTTAGGATCTAGCAGGACAATAGGGTTTCCATGGAAACCACCCTCCCCTGTTAATTTAGGACAACACCTTTAGAAGAAAATTCATATAAGGGAAAAGAAACTCTTCTAAGGGGAGGGCAAACCAATGAAAGTGGAATTAATATTACAATATTTTTCTCTTTCTTTAAACCCCTGCATATTCCAGTTATTTCAAATTATTACGTTAATTACGAATTACATTTACTTTTTCATTCTGTGGATAGAAGACCCTAAATTCCTGCTTAAAGTCTCTGCATCTCCTTTGCTGGCTCTATACATCTCTGGCATATAATGGTCTCAGAAGCCCAAGTGTCACATTTAGCACTTGGAGAACCCAAAGCTGCTGTCTACAGGCAGCTGCACTGCACCACAGACTGCAAAGGATGCGTGTGGTTTTCACTGCTCTGGGTGCTGGTTTTCTAACGTCTCATCTTTTTAAAAAATTATTTATTTGATGCAGCGTCTCACTGTGCAGCAGGGCTGTCTAGTGATCTTCCTGTCTCAGCCTCCTGGGATTACAGGTGTGCATCTCCACACCCAGTTTTCAGCTGCACAACAGCATGGCATGTGGTATCAGGGTTCGAACCTGGGTCCTTGTGTTTACCAGGCAAGTGCTTAGACTGCTGAGCTATCTCCTCGGCTACTCTAATGTCTCATCAACACAGTATCTGTCCTACATTTAGATGAAGAGGCTTGATATAGGCTCTTAGTTTTTTGTTTTTTTCCCCAAAGAAATGGCTACTTTTTCCTTTTGCTATTATTATTTAATGTATTGGTGAAGAGTCTCACTATGCAGCTCAGACTTGTAGCGATCCTCCTGTTTCAGCCTCCCCTGTGCTGGGATTACAGGCATGCACCCCCCCCAGTCTTGATGGCTGGCTCAGTGTGACCAGGGGCAAGACTAGTGTGGCCCTCTTTCCTTTTTTAAAAAAAATATTTTTTAAAAAATATTGGGAAACAGATCCATTCCTATATGTGACACAAATTTTCATAAAGGGATCGAAACTCTTTTGTTCCTTTTTTTTTTTTCTTTATGGTGCTAGGACTTGAACTCAGGTCTTTCATACTAAGCTACATGCCTAGCCCTTTTAAATTTTATTTTTGGAACAGGATGTCTCCAAATTAACTATATTGCGTGGGCTGGGCTTGGATTTGCTATCATCCTGACTCAGCCACCCAGAGTGTTGGAATTACAAGCATGATTTGAAATACTAAAAAAAAAAATTTTCTTTCCTTTCCCTCTTCCGAGGTTGGTGTCTAAAGGCCTTCCGAATACAGCCTGTAACACAACTAGGCTGGACATAGGATTGTTTACCTTTATCCCGAGAAGGCGGGGAAGGCACCCAAATCTGTGTGCGGCGAGTGTGGCCCAAAATTCTCGCGAGATTGTCCACTCGGAAGAAGCCGGTCACGGGCTCCCGGCATGCAAAGCGTCTGTGATAGCACCGAGCAGGCGCTCCTTGCTGAGGAGCAGAAACTCATGGAAGAGTTGACGGCTCAAGCCCGAGTCAGAAAGCTACATGAGCGATGAGCTTCTCGGAGTATACGAGATGGAAAGGCTAGAACAGTGCCCTGTGTTGTTTGTGGTCGCTGATTTTCACAAGTCCAGGAGTTTTTAAGGCAGTGTTAGAAGGTATGTGAGCACTGTGGCTCCCTCGCTTGCCCAACTAATGGGCTCATTGTTGGTAGATAGTAAATTAGAAAGAAATACAGATTTTTACACTCAGGAATTTTCGTTTTGTTTTCTTTTTCTTTTTGTGAAAGGGAACACAGAGTAGTGGTCAGTCATGCGGCAAGGAGCTAGTTGTGGCCTCACATACCGGTAATCCCAGCGCTCCAGGAAACTGAGGCAGGAGGCTCACGAGTCCACGCAAGCCTGGGCAATATAGTGACTCAGCGAGACTCAGACTTAATATTACAAATTGAAAAGTCTGAAGATGTAGCTGGGTTCAATCTCCAGTATATTCCAGTATATGCTAGGATAAACTGTCAGGTCCAGATCGTTGTGTGGCACATAGAGTCCTAGATAAGTTACAGAAGTGCTCCATGCCTGTTTATTGGTAAAATAGTCACAGTAACAACATCTGTCTCCTGAGTCTCATAAGGCTATGAAGATTGATCGGAACTGTTGTAGGGCTTGCACTTAAAATGAAACAGTCAGAAAATAAATGCATGCCGCCCAGGTGAGCCCAGGGCACCTGCAGCTGTTGTCAGATCTAATCTACTTTTTCACGAGCAGGTTGTTTTCACACCATACATATTCTCTTTTTAATAGAATGGCAAGGTTCTGACACCAGCGGAGCATTTGGGCGGGTCTCTGTGAGGCTCCTGGCCGTGATAAAGTCTCCGTTTGTTTTTTCTGGAGAGATCTTTCCAAACAAGAGTCATTTAGGAGCTATCGCAGGCATGGAAGTTACCGCTGGAAAGGTGAATTTGATAAATGAATTATCTCGGATCTGTTGATAAATTGAGTACATTGGATGTAAATGCTACTTCAGATGATGGCATTTCCCATCACTTTTAGTTTTTATGTGTTCAGTTTTAAATAATTGGCTTTGAAATATTTTTAAAAAATATTTTTAAAAAATGTAGGTTTCTAATTTATATGTTCTTCGTGGTGTGTTTAACTTGGTATTTTAGCAAAAAGAAAAACTAAAACCCTTAAATTTGATTTGCATTCAAAGTTACTTAAATATCGTTAATTATACCTATTTTCAAAATAGGCAATGCATTCTGAGAATTTCCTTCTAGATACTAATTCTCTTAAGTTTGTGCTCTTTTTGCGATAGTGGTATGAAACTTTGTGAGTAGACTTAAAATTTTTCAATGGAAGTGATTAGATACTAAGAGAGACAAATTACTGAACTTATGAATGTATTCTGTTGGATTGCTAACAATAGACCTGATTGATTAAAGTGATTTAATATATATTGTGTTAATAGCTAAACCTCCAGAGCCCCTAATCTCCCATGGAAATATTGCTTTGTAGAACAAAATCCAATGAGAAGTTCTGGGATTCCAGAGTGAATTTGTGCATTCCTGAGGGGCATTTTTGCAAGGGAGGTTGTTGTGTTTTAAAGGTAGTTGATAAGAGACCTGCACCACCAACCCCAGACCTGCACCACCAACCACCATCATGCATTAGTCTATAGAAGGTATTTGGGTGTATGTACTCCTGTACCACCCGGTACCACCATTTAGCCCAGGGAAGCTTCTGACCATTTGCAGCATACATTATAAATCAGGATGTCACTACCAGACAATCAGATTTGAGCATTCCATGAACAAAGTAGCCTATATTCTCTGGGAATAGATCACTTAACTTTGTTTATGTCATGCTGTTGATATGCCTGCATTTACACAAGCCAGGATAACACACTGTTTATTTATTCTAGAAGTAGATAATTAATCTGTGTATTTATCTAATTTAGGTTAATTAACCAAAAATCAAAATTTAGCATGATTGGTTAAATACAGAGGGGAAATAAAATCATTCTTCTGACTCCCAAAAAGTACTCTGTAACCCTTTGGATTGTGAAAGAATAATTTTGTGTCTTCTCCAAGTTGGGCTGGTGTCGGCTGCTCTTTGAAAAAATTTCCTACTTGGCACACGGTGCTTGGGCCAGATACTTGGGGAAGCTTGGAGGATTTCCAACGGCCAGATTAGCCCCCTGGAGAGACCCAGGAAAACGGCAGGATATTGTGTTGAATGAATGAGCTTGCTTAAATCATATGTGCTTTCTAGTATCAAGGGGGGATATCACTGCCACTTGAGGACACGGTGACCTGTGGGGCCAGTTTATGCATTCTAGTGGGTGGGAGAAATTTTCCTTTAAAGTTTTTTGTTAGTTTGTTTGAGGAGATGAGCTTATAAACTTAGCAACTTACAAGTTAGCCTTTCAAGGCACAAATAATGGTCTGAATCTAAGAATAGGGGTCTTACTTGCCTTGTATAATTTAGTAATTAGAAACCACATTAAAAATACTAACTACATTATGTTTACATTCTGGTCTTTGACACTTTCGTAGGTAGCTGCATTAGGTAAAATTTGCATCCTGCTCTTTGTTTATAGTGTGTTAAAAATATTTCTCCAAAATATAAGTTCTTCATAATCCTTTTTAGGGCCAGGGAGATGGCTCAGTGGAATAAGCACTTCCCTGGCAAGTGCAAGGGCCTTAGTTCAATCCCTGGTTCCGCCTAAAAAAAAAAAAAGACATAATCCTTTTTAGAAGTTCCTAATATGTCCATATATAATATATATGTGTATATATATAAACACATATATACACACTCCATATATGATATATATGTATATATATATACACACATATATACACACACGCACATATGTAGGACAAATTTTTCTTATTAGATGTTTAGGAAATTTGTGGTTTCTTTTATTCTAATGTTTATAATTAAAATCTTTCGACAGTACTTTATAAGTCCTCATGTCATTTCCTCATTAGTTCCTTAGAAAATACCTGTAAGTAAAGGGTATAAGTTAAGGAATAAACATTTTGAAAAAGCAAGATGAGTGTTGTCCAGTTGCTTCCTACATTGATAATATTAAGGTACATGCTAGTCAACTGTATGTGAAAATGACCTTTGTCCTGCAGAATTACAAATAGTTTTATATTATTATAATGAAAATGTTTCCCTATTTCATAAATTTGCATTCATTTAACCACTGATTATTATTGTTCTTCTGTTTCGTAGGTGTTGCAGGATGTGAGGGTGACCAATTTCGCTGTGGTAACGGGCATTGTATCCCTGCAAGCTGGCGCTGTGATGGGACCAGTGACTGCTTGGATGACACAGATGAAGCTGGCTGCCGTGAGTGACGGGGAAGGGCTGCGCTCTGCTTGGCTGGCACATGCCTTGGAGTAGTTTCAGCTCCACAACAGAGGCTGTGCTAAGTCTAGAGATCGGTGTGGTTGAATAGAGATCCGACGGCACTGCTGATAGCTTCACTTACTTTGGAGTGTGGGGGGGGTTCTAGTTATTTACATTTTTCTCTAAGGATCATGACTTTGATATAGAAACAAAACTGCATCTATTTCTTTGTACAGTTCTCCTAGCAGTATTCTGAGGGAGGTTTCAAGTTAGGAAACTGAGGCTTAGTGCAGTTAAATCATTTGCTGCAGGATTCAGGCGGGGTGCACCCTCCGCAGATCCCAGCCCTGACTCCTGCATTTTTCCTGACGGGCCCTAGGTGACTGAGCCTGCACCTCAGTGTACTCCATTCAGACAAGGGTTGCCATCTGAAAACCAGGGGATCCAGTGAAAACAATCAGCTTTGTTTGGAACTGTTGGTCATCCTGTGGTGCCCTTGAATGGTCAGACTTTGGCATGTGGTTTGGATGCTAATATATTTGAGAGGGGCAGGAAGGGCCAAGGACAGGTTCTGTTCCGGGCTTCTCACTCATTCCTGCACCCGCAGGCCACAGGGAAGCTTGCTGAGGTTCTGTGTGCCTGGTGGGCAGGCTTGCAGCTGTCGCTCGACTTCTGCCTGAGGCTGGCTCTCTGAGTGAGCACAGTGGAAGGTGTGGTGACACGGCGTGATGTCAGTGGGCCTCCTCTCAGGTCATTGGTCGAACAGTAGGAAAAGAAAGGCAAGAATAGAGTATTCTAGGATAAAGGAATAAATGGATGGTTATACCACTGCCTCTTCAGGGATTGCAGTTACTTTTTTTTTTAAATTTTATTTATTTATTTATTTGTGTGTGTGTGTGTGTGTGTGTGGCCAGCTCAGCCCACCAGGGGCGGGGCTGGCTGGCATGTGGTGCTGGGGGATTGAACTGTGGTCCCTGTGCTTTGCTAAGCTTTTATCTAAGTAGGTGCTTTAGACCACTGAGCCATCTCACCAGCCCTGCAGTTACTTTTGAATGTCGTGTGACAACAATAATAACAGTAATACCAGTAATATTAATGATACTAACTAGCATTACATGATATTTTCATACCTACTGTTCAACTTATTTTTTATTTTTTATTTTTTTGTGGAACCAGGGATTGAATTCAGGCCTTGCACTTGCCAGGGAAGCACTTATTCCACTGAGCCATCTCCCCGGCTCCTGTTCTACTTATTTTTAATGCCAAACCATAAATATTAATCCCATTTTATGATGAGTATAGTAAGGGTCAGAACCTGCCAAGGTCCTTAACCAAGTAAATTGTGGAAATAATTATTTTGTAATTCTGAGGGTTCTTTGCCAAATTTTATAGATTTTTCCAGTTAATCATGATACTTTGCTATTAAACATGTCAAATGCGAGCTGGGTAGATAGTTCAGTGGTCTAAGCACCTGCCTGGCAAGCGCAAGGACCTGGGTTTGATCCCTGGTACTGCATGCCATGCCGGCCTAGCAAAACTCTGTACCAAATAAATAAATAAACATATTTTTAAAAAAGATATGTCAAATGATTTAACAAAAATTCATGCTTAATTTTTACTTAAATTGAAAACACAATTCGATAATTTTGTTATATATTTGTGCTTATGTATGTTGGGTTGTATGCATTCTTGGTGTTTATTGGCTTGGATTGTCAGCTTATTTTGATATCATTGCCAAGATTATTTGACAGTGAGCATTGAATAGGCTGTAGTATGAATTGATGGTTTTTCACCTTCATATGTATTGAGCAGGAGTGGATGTATACTCCTTTTTAAAATTTATTTATTTATTTATTTTTGAGGCTGTGTAGCTGAGCCTGGCCTTGAACTTGTGGCAATCCTGCCTCAGTCCCCTGAGTGCTGGGATCACAGGCATGTGCTACCATGCCTGGCAACTGTGTTCTTTTGAAATGAGCCTCACTACTGGCATGGTGGGGCAGGTGCTTGCTGTAATTAACTTTTTTGGTCTGTTCTAGCTCCTCGATCATGTCCAGTGGGCTTGTTCCAGTGTCACAGTGGGAGCTGCATCTCTCATTTGTGGGTGTGTGACCGTGAGAACGACTGTGGTGATGGCTCGGATGAGCAGAATTGTCGTAAGTATTTAGGAAGGATTCTTCTTTGGCTGTTTGGATACACGAAGTCCTTCCCATCACAGATTATGCCACTGGGATGATGTTTCATAAATACTGAGCTGAGCCTTAGGTGACTGCGGAATCCAGACAATCCAACAATCTCACTCATAGGTTATCGCGTTGAAAGCATGTGTGTGCCCAGAAGTTTGTTAGTATTTCCGTGATGTGGGATAGGTTTCTGGTCTTTAATTTGAATTATGTTGTAGTCAAAAAAGAAGCTCCTCACTGATCTGTATGGTAGGGTGTGTGTTCTTCTTTTTTTTTTTTTTT